GTAAGCCACTTGAGGATGTTACAGGGATTTCACCCTGCTTTGAGTTGTGAAAACCACGGTAAGGCAGGGACCCTCCTGGCTTATTGCTCTAACATCACAAGACAGACAAATCAAGACATAAATAAAACCAATAAGCCCAGATAGAATAGAGAACAGCATGAGTCAGAAAGTTCGGTGAACATTATCATAGTTATTGTATGTCATAAAATCTGCCCAATCAGTTGTGACCTTTTATCTGTATGAATAAATATATGTTATACACATTTTCATATTCTAAATAATTTGAACCCAGCAGCTGACTTTTAAAATTCATGATGAATGAACCAATAGGTATGTTCCAAAACTGCTTGGAATAAAATCCTGTTGCATTAACTCATTTAAGAATGAAATTTAAGAATGTTTTTGCCTTCTGCTATAAAGTTACCATTTCGGAGATACTTGTTGTTCTTGGGACAGAGACAATATAATAGTGTGAACACTAAACAAACCAGAACTAAAATGCATGAACAATGTATGCATTTTCTGCTTTGGTCTGGGCCAAGAGAACTGAATCGAACTACGTACCCTTATTTATACATTCTGTGTATTGTGCAAAGCACAATGTTTCACTACACTCCCTGTTAGGGCTGTGACGATTACTTGATTAAATTCAATTACTCAATAAAAAAGCATTACTCACCTTGTCAATTGATAATTAGGGCATTCTAATTATCATTCAAACTGCAGACTGAAGATTCTCCACAAGAGAGAACTAGTAGCACTCAAGTAGTTCACAAACTAATTGTTTTTAATTTAGTAATCAGTTTATACTGAATAATTGGTATTCAACTGCAAAAAGGCACATTGTTAGCACATCTTTTTGGATGTGGTCTGATTGTCTAACACTACATACCAAAAAGAAAAATACAACTGATAATACAATTGTAGTATTATTTTTCATGTCAATAAAACAGAATAAATTGAATAGTGCGTTTGAGAGAAAGAGGGAGAGAGAGCGAGAGAGAGAGAGACAGAGAAAGAGAGAGAGACAGAGAGAGAGCATGAGTGCTGCAGGCTGTAGAGACGCTGGGCACTGGCTGTGTGGTTATGATTCAGGCACCAAAGGATGAGCTGTGAAGACGCTGCAACTGATTTGCATCACACACACACACACACACACACACACACACACACATTTCCACACACCCCCCCCCCACACACACACACACACACACTCACACAGACGCACACACACTCACACAGACTCACACTCACAGAGTAATGTGCAAAAGGCAGAGACCACCTTTCACTGATCTAATTTCCAGTCAAAACTGTCATTAAGAACAAATGATTCACTTATAGGAGACACTTCTATGGAGAGTAGATAGAATACAATATACTTGCATAAGGGTAAAGAAAATCAAAGGAAAACGAGTGAAAGAAATAGTTTCAAAATTGGAGTTCAAAAACTTGTTAAACAATACTGAAAAATCAAGCTCCACACTTGCTTCAAATCTGTAAAAATGCACAGGTGTTTCTGTCCATCCTTCCACTGTGAGAAGACAACTCAGCACTACGGGTCTGAAAGGATGTGTAGCTGCCCTCACCGAGAAAAGGAAATAGACAAAAAAGAAGAAAATTTGCAAATCAAACAAAGAAGCTGCTGGTGTTTTCAGAACAATGGACTGACCACCAACATCAGAGTCCAGACCTCAATATCACTGAATGGATTGTGAGTTGCAGAAAATGCAACCAGTTTCTAAGACTGAACTTTAGAGATGTGGAAAAATATTCCCGCGGATTTTTTGCAAACAGTGAAAGCTGTACTTTTCTATTCAAAATGTTTTCTGCTTTTTTCCCTGAAGCTGACAACTTACATAATGGCTGTTTTACATGGAAATAAATAAAGGGTGGCCTCTGACTTTTGCACAGTACTGTATACAGACATGCCTACACACATAAACTGCACTAAAAGTAGACACAGTGAAACAGCTTATACAGATGTGTGCACAGACACACACATACAGACACACACAGCAGATTGCTGGACTGCAGAAATCAATTCAGAAGACACTGAGACAACCTGGAGACATACACAAATACACATACACACACTTACACACAGACTGCAGGCTATACAGTCTAGACGTATGCACATACACACACAACCTGTCAGAAGAAATTTCTTCTTGAACATCATTTGAATGTTACAAAAAGAAATTTCAGTCAAGTATGAAAAATATCATTTGAATGCAGCAAACATTAGCATGAATCATGTCAACTTTTGTGGCCTGCTGACTCTTCTAGCATAACTCTAGGTCTAATACTATTGTGCTGTGTAGACATACTAGTTTGCAGAGATGGAAACAAGTAGAGAAAAACTGTACTTAAATGAAAAGCATGAGTACTATGTTAAAATCTTACTTAGTTAGAAATTAAGAATATACTTGTCTACAAAAATGATCTCAGTTTAAGCGTGTAAATATAAAAAATAAGTTAAAAGTAAGTTAAAAGTGTTGGTTGTGTGTGATGAGGTGACTGATGAGTGGTAATAGTCCTCATACAAATTATGAGCCGTTTTATTTTACATTGATATGAATTTAGTTGTATGTTTAAACACCAAACTGATTGGCCAATGAAAAACAAGAAGTAAAATGTATGTCTCTTGCAAATGCAAGGAAGTCAAAGTACAAGTTTTCAGCTTCTGAAATACTTGAGCAAAGTACAAATCTTCCAAAGTACAGTTACTAACATCCCTTTTAGTTGCTAATCAGACTAATGAGTAAGAATACATATTTTAATAGAGACTAATTTCAAAACATTAGCTTTGGAATTGACAGTTTATCAAAGGCAAAAAAGACAGCACCACTCAGACAGATTAAAAAAACAAACAAATATTTACCTTTTATGTGAATCAACAATGATTAATCTTCTACTGTTTTCTCTTACAGTAAAGTATTTTAGAATCTCTGAAAGACTCTGCATGGTTTGATATTGTGCAAAAGCATTTTAATTGTTTGGTCTTATTTTAAGAACACTGATTACGCAATGTCAGGGACTGGTTGGGTGGTTGTGATTACAGCACCAAATGCCATCTTTTTGTAATATTCTTATATTAAGAACATAACTAAATGGTTAAATGTTGCAGTCTCTCTCTCTCTCTCTCTCTCTCTCTCTCTCTCTTTTTCCCTGAATATTGTGTACTGGCAATTCAGTGGCAAGTCAGATACGACCAAGGACACTCCTGCTGTACTTAAAAGCTTAACACTTCTCGGTGCATGTACAAAAACAGCAGGGATTGGATCACCATCATTAATCGCACAACATTTCACATAATATAACTAATACATTGATGGCAATCCAGTAATACAAACAAGGCACACTGTCATAGGAAGCTCTGAAATGTTTACCAAAAAGAAGTGGCAAATTATTTGCTCAGAAACACCAATAAATGTGAAAAGGGACAACTATGGAGTTAATTTTGTGTCAGAAGTTAAAATCCACACGCAAGTATCAACACGTCCAAAATATGTTGCAAATACAAATGATGATAGTTAAATTAAGCTTAATTCTTCTTAAAGACGACTAGTCATTTCTTTTATATAAATGAATTACTTACTTTGGTAGTCTTTGCTTTCATTTTTTTTCTGTTTGCTGATGTTGCTGATATATTTTTTGTGTCCAGTAGTGCTTGTTTGCTTTTTTTCATGGGGGGATGGGCCTTGTGGACACCTCGTTGTGTCAGAAGATTTGTCATCCAATAGCCAGTGCAGGTAAACGCCCTGCTCTAAGACCCGATTTTAAGAAGAAATATTCAAACATTCATTCTTAAAAACACTTTAAATATAACTGGTTACTATATACATTTCAAAGCCTATAAAATGGTATTCTGGCCAGCCCTACAGGGCAGCATTGTGGACTTTACAGCGAAATGACTTCGTTGGGGTGCCAAAAGCAAAACCATAATAAGCCAACCACCACTTTTAAACAAGAATGTTTTCCTTGTACCCTGCTTTGTGATTTATGAGCGAAAGCCATCTTCTAGAGACTTTTACCTACACTCCCTCACAGAGATAAGCGCCACTGCACAATGAGCCACTTACTGTGGGTAAATGTCATTAGCAAGAGCAAGAAGAGCTTATAGCTGGGACAACGGCCATTTTTCATGGTGGGTGACATTCACAGGCAGTGGCAGGACAGTACCTCACCACAGTATGGTAACCATAGAGTGTTCTGCAGGGCCTACTGGAAAAGTGGAGCAACACTGGCTCACTGACTCACATGGACTGTAGAGGCTTCCTGATTATAAGAGGAATGAATGCCATCTCTTTGATGAATAGAGGAGGTCTGTGGAAACTGAATGAACGAAAGGCTGATCTCTGACTTTTGTGCAAAAGAATATTTAACAGAAAATTACATGAAAGCCTCAACAACTAAACAACATAATTTTTTTCAGTATCCACTGTGTCCACTTTGCCATTACAGCTTCCAATATTTTTTTAAAGACTTGCTTTCAGTTTTCAAGAAATCTGTAGGTATGTAAGTTCAGTCTTAGAAGCTGGTTGTTCTTTCTGTTTCTCATGATCCAAGTAATCCCAAACACATTCGATGATGTCAAGGTCTGGGCTCTGAGGTTAGTCTATTGTTTTAAGAACAAAGGCTTCTTTTTTAATTTACAAATGATCTTCTAATTTGTTTATTTCCTTTTCTTAGCAACGGCTTCTTGACCGCTAGACACCTTTTCAGATCTAATGCTATTGTTAGTGAAAATTAAAAGAAGGGTGGTCTCTGGCTTTTGGGTGTACTGCTGTGTCAGTGTCTGACTGAAGATACAGATTTATACTAGTGCAAGTATACGGATATCTACGCCTGAGTCAGGCCAAGCTTTGGTTTAAATATAAGCCAAATGCTCGTTTAACTGACAAGACAAGAGAATCAGCCATGAAATGTCACCATTTCATTGGTGCCCCCCTACCACATGCACACAGATGCACACACAATAAGCTGTCAGGGCCACTCACCGGGGTGTCCAAGTCTTCAGCCTGCACCGTGGTGACGATGGTTCCTTTGACTGCATTGGGTGCCACCATGCCTCTGTACACCGTCTGGCCAAACACCGGCGAAAAGTCATTCATGTCCTTTGCCAGCAAGAAAAAGAAGAGAATCAAACCCAGATTAATGATGCTTTCATACAATGGTAGCCTGCCAGCCAACACCCCCCCCCACACCCCCCCTTTTAAACCATGCTGCATTTGCAACTCTCGGCCTCCCTGTGCTAGCAGGACCCCATTAGCTGGCTTATTCGCCGCACTAAACAAAAATGGCATTTATTCAATAGCAGATCATGAACAGCATTAAGGATGTGACACGGCGCTACTTGCCCAGGGACTCCTTTGCCTTTTTTTCCCCCTTTCTAAAACTTGGATGAGAGATAATTGCGGCCTTTGAGAATGTGGCAAGAAAAAAAAAAAGCCAGTGGCACGAGAAAAGAGAAGACAAAGCAGAAGTAACGGCTAAGCCAAAAGAAAAAAAAGGGAGGAGGGAGGAATAGCAGAGGACATGACTTCTCACTATGAAGTTTTATTTGTGGAAGAGTCGGTGAAGGAGCCGGGAAGTGGTGTTGAGATGAATACTGATGGAGCCTGGCCGAGGAACAGCCTCTCGCCTCCAATCCAGCACGCTTCCCCGAGTCCAAGGAGAGGCCAGCGTGGTTCAGGTATCCAAATTACACCCCGCCGTGGCCCCTCCTGCAAGAGTCGGGGTTTATTCAAGGATGTCCTTGGGACGAGCCCAGGCCCCGACTAATAAAACTTGAGTTGTTTGCTTGCGCATCAAAAATGAAGGGAAGTATTGAAGAAAGCACGTTGGAGCCAAATCATTTCTTTTACACCCACATCCCTACATCTACAGATGCCATTTCCCAACAGGAATGAGAAATAGGGGGCTTTAGTCTTTTTGAAAAAGGAAAGTACAGCATACATAGTGTATGGTATATTATACAGAGGATAGCTACAGACATACAGCATACAGGGGAGCGCATGGTACAATCTAACATCCGATAAAATGTAACACCAGTATTTTAGTTACAACATATTCAAGCAGAATGCACTTTTTGTCATGTTCTCGTCTTCCTATAGCTTTGCTATCTGCACATTTTCACAGCAGTCGGAGATATTTCTTGCGTTTGTTTGTAAGTCACAGATTTGACACCTCTACTATTTTAACTACCCACTTGGTGGCTGTAATATAGGACCATTTTGAAGCATATACCCAACTCACAGAACAAGCCAGCCAGGCTAAAGTCCAGCCTCCACACAGCAGGGTTAGTTTTAACACAGTGTTACAACTAAGCCTCCCAATGTAAACCATAAGAACAGTCAATATGTCCCCAAATATATGTATATATATATATATATACATATATATATATATATATATATATATATATATATATATATACATATACATACATCATATAATTTTGGAGATATGAGGTTTTGTTCCGACATATATATATATATATATATATATATATATGTCGGAACAAAACCTCATATCTCCAAAGTGATAACTTCACAGGAGAAAGAAAAAAACCTTCTTTACATTTAATTAATTAAAGTCAATGGAACCAGATTTTTTTGGTCAAAATTTAATTACTCATTAACATAAAATTTTATACAGTCTCTTTTTAACAGCCACATTTATTTTGATGATTCTATTTTTATAAATTTAGACAGAACTGTATTAACTGTGTTCGCACTGATTATCAGACTTTTTAGCGACAGTAACAACTAGCCCCTCAATCTGTTACAATTAACCCTGCCTGTAAGGTAATTTCTAACATTTGCATCCACACCACTTTTGACTCAGTTGCTCACAAACAGCAGATGCTTGAAATAAAGTTTACATTTTCATTTGTAGCAGAGATCCATCTGCAGTCCTTAGGCAGGTAAACACAGCATTAAAAATTACTACAAAATACTCAATCAATATCGTACAAATACAGAGACAAATATAATAAAATCTCAGAATAATTTTCACGTGTCTTGTAGCGTGTACAGCTAGAAAAGCCACAGAAAGCCACAGACGATGTTGTTAGGCTTCGGATGATAGCTTTCCTCATCAGGACCATACCCTGGGGGCCCTATCATGTCTTAATCATTCTGATATTATGAAGGCTCCATGCATCAGGTAGCACATTTATCGCCGGCCCAGACTCACAGCTTTCTCATTTTCCACAGCAGCTAATTATCAATTAGCTGCGCCATGCAAAGAGGGAAAATTAATAAATAATCCCAGAAGCCACGCACAAAAACAATTAACTGTTCTTTTGGGACTCAGAGGGGACATAATATACTCCCTGCCTCCTTGCGTGGTGCTACTTAGTGAATATGATGAGGCAAAACCTGCTCGTCCGGCTGACTAGCCTTACAGAGGGTAGTTGAGGGAACCTGAAGAAAAGGCAAGAAACACTTAAAAATGGGAATAAAGGCAAGCGATGCAGTAAATTACTGCAGGGCATCTGGCAATTTATAGATTGCTTGCTGAAAATCGCTCCCAAATATGCTTCAGAAGCCGTCACGGACAAGCTTTTTCAAAGCTAATAATGGGGCTAATCATGTTTATGGGCGACAAGGCAAAGCGTTTTCTTCGCACTCCAAGATGATAGGAAATGAGTGAAGGTCCCACGGTTCTGAGGAGTGAGGAAATTAGCCAGAACAACCTTCGCAGAATATCAGTCCACTTCAGCCGCTTGACACATATCACAACAGTGTTCTCTTTCAGGGGCTGCCATTAGACCAGCAGCTGCCCTTCACTGAGGGCTAATTGACATTCAACCTGCGACTGGGGTTTAATCTTCGGAGCCTTTATGAATCAGGCGGCAGGGCTGGGGGAATTTTACTAAAGCCAAATGGCCATTCATACATGCACAGCATATAGCAGCAGTGCTTTACTGCTATACAGTGTATACAGTCTGTCAACCAGTGGGCATTAGGGCTGGATAAACAAAGAACAAGACAAGAATGATTCACCTTTTTGATCGTCTAGAAAGTGGAGAAAATGGAGTGAGTCAGGGAAATATTTGGATCTATGTTGTCCACAAATATAAAACTATGAAACCTCAATTTCAAAAAACCAGTGTGTAAAATGCTAAAAAACGAAAGCAGTGGTTAGTAAATCTTGTTTGACTTTCATTAAAATGAAAACACCATTTACCAAATCTTACCATAACTATTTCACTACTGTTTTTCGTACATATACAGATGAGCCAAAACATTATAATCCAGATGAAGCAAATTAGGCTGATCAACATGTAAGAACTGCACATGTTAAGGTCTGGGATGTATTAGGCGGTAAACAAACAGTCGGTTCTCATAGTCAGTGTGTTTAAGGGAGAAATTGGCAGGCGTGGGGACCTGAGTGACTTTGACAAGGGTCAAATTGTTATGTCCAGGCGACACAGTTGGAGCATCTCCAAAACAGTCAGGCAGTGGTGAGTACCTACCAACAGAGTCCAAGGAGGGACAGACTACAAACCAGCGACAAGGTGTTGGGCGCACGAGGCTCGTCGATGCAGAAGGGCAACAAAGACTACCCTGTCAGGTCTAAACCGACAGAAGGGCTACAGTGAAGTCACCGAAATTTTGTTATGGGTTATGGGAGGAATGTGTCATGATACATAGTGTACCGCACCCTGTCGCGTATGAGGCTGCACAGCCACTAACCCCTGTCCACCACCCACAATGGGTGCAGACCAGGTAAATCCCTTTATCGCAACGGTATTCTATCTTTCAGCAGGATAATGAACTCTGCCACAATGCAAACATTGTTCTCCACTGGTTTGAGGAACATGACAAAAAATTGTTGCTCTGTCCTCCAAAATCTCACTGGGCACCTGTTGGATGTGCTGGAAGTCCAAGTCCGATCTGCTGACAGTCCACCTTGGAATTTACAGGAACTCAAAGGCACCTTCAGCCCTAAAGTTTTGGCTCATCAGTTTACGCTCATTCCAAATTTGATGTCTGCAGCATGTTCCAGTAAAGTTGAGACAAGAGCATGTTTACCACTGTGTTACATCATCTGTCCATTTAACAACGCTTAATAATCATTCAAGGGACTGAAGATACCAACTGTTTCGGTTTTGAAAGTGGTTCGGTTTTGAAAGTGGAATTTTTTGCTATTCTTCCGTGATACGCTAAATAAGTCTTGAGCTACACAACTGTATGCATGTCAAAGTATTGCAAGAGGTGACATCCATCACAAAAGCATGCCAGTTTTTAATGCAGTGCTGGGGAATAGAAGGTCATGGGTATTAGGTTGTGGTTTTTGGCTTTGCCCCTTATGCACAATTTTCTCCGGATTCCCTGAGTCTTTTGATGATATCATGCACCATAGAGCAGGAGTGCCAAACTCAACCATTAAAAGCGCCATAATAAAAAATCTCAACAAATCCAGGACCAGAGAACGACCCTCTTCATCTCTGCCACTTTTCTGATGCCGCTGCTGTCCATCCAACTCTCCGGTGTTTTTTTCATAATGGTACTTAACGTGGTATTCTTTCATTACAGCCACACTATCTCAGCAAACAAGACAGATATTGGAAGTAAAAAGGTATTTGAGCTCCCACCTGTTTTGAAATCCCCAGTGTTCACTGTTCACTCCTCACTTTTGGTGAACTAGGTGTTTTTTTTTAGCTAGCTAGTGTTTATATTGGTTGGACTGCTGCTAAAACACAGCTAGTGTGTCTGGCATGGTAGGATTGAGGTGTAACCACTGTCCCATAGAGTGCTGTTTTTCATGTTGTAGTGCATACTGGGGACTATGGTGCATCCTACTGTGAAGTGGGTTAATATCAATAGAAAATGAAAATAATTTCGTAGGCCAGACAGGATCGTGCTACGGGCCAGACCTGGCCCGCAGGCCTTTTGTTTGACACATTGGCCATAGAGGGTGAAATACATAAAATACTTGTAATACTCGATAAACAATGTGAACGAATGCACTGTGAATCAGGGAATGGATTATTCACTGCTGCATTAATTTTGCTTAGTGGCAAGCCTTGAACAAATTCTTGCTCATGAACTACAAGGCCTTTTATGTGCAAGCACGATTGCATCACCTGTTTAAGATGTTATTTGTTTTACAGCGTTCTTTGTCTTAAACTGCCCTTGTACCACTTTTTCTGGAACAAGCAGGCATTTCAAACACTGTTTGTAAGGTTTTCTTTTTTTTTTGAAAGAGTTTTTTTGTTTTTACTATTTTTTGAAACAATACTGATGTGAAAACTAGGTAACTAGGAATATATATATATATATATATATATATATACACATATATCAGGCATAACATTATGACCACCTCCTTGTTTTTATGCTCATTGTCCATTTTATCAGATCCACTTACTATATAGGTGTATATAGTAAGTGGATCTGATAAAATGGACAATTCCACACCTATTACAGACTGTAGTCCATCTGTTTCTCTGCATACTTTGTTAGCCCCATTTACCCTGTTCTTCAGTGGTCAGAACCCCCATTGACCCACACAGAGCGGGTACTATTTGGGTGGTGGATCATTCTCAGCACTGCAGTAACACTGACGTGGTGGTGGTGTGTTAGTGTGTTTTAAACACCTCAGTGTCACTGCTGGACTGAGAATAGTCCACCAACCAAAATATCCAGCCAACAGCGTCCTGGGGGCAGCATCCTGTGACCGCTGATGAAAGACTACAGGATGACCAACACAAACTGTGCAGCAGCAGATGAGCTATCGTCTCTGACTTTACATCTACAAGGTGGACCAACACGGTAGGTGTGTCTAATAGAGTGGACAGTGAGTGGACACAGTGTTTAAAAACTCCAGCAGCACTGCTGTGTCTGATCCACTCGTACCAGCACAACACACACTAACATACCACCACCACGTCAGTGTTACTGCAGTGCTGAGAATGATCCACCACCCAAATAGTACCTGCTCTGTGAGGGTCCATGGGGGTCCTGACCACTGAAGAACAGGGTAAAAGGGGGCTAACAAAGTATGCAGAGAAACAGATGGACTACAGTCTGTAATTGTAGAACTACAAAGTGCACCTTTATAGTAAGTGGAGCTGATAAAATGGACAATGAGTGTAGAAACAAGGAGGTGGTCATAATGTTATGTCTGATTGGTGTATATGTAATTATGCAGTAACATAAACTGTGAATCAAAACGCTTCCTATTAAACCTATAAAATGAACAAAAGCACAGGGCTTCAGATAACAGTAGAACAGCAGAAACCAAATAAACCAGTCTATTAGAGATTACTTAACAAACCTTAAAGTATAAAGAAAGAGGTGTTTCCAAACTTTGTCTGGTACTCTATTGTCTATTTTAACCTTCTCTTACCATTACGGTGACAGTCACAGTGGCTAAACCAGGTGGCATGCTCCCACCGCTGTCCACTGCCTCCACCACAAAAGTGTGTGTGGTCCTCTCAGGTGTGAGTTTCTCAAAGTCCAACGTATACAGCACCCTCAGCTCTCCTGTAACAGGGTTGAGTGCAAACAGCTCCATGGCCTCCTCTGTTCTGAAGCGATAGGTGATGTTGGAGTCCAGGTCTGCGTCCAATGCCTTGAAGAGAAGAAACCAGGAAAGTGTGAGCGATATCTATTAAGCAAGAATGGGGGTGGTTATTCATATATATGGATATTTGAATTTATCTTAGTATTTGTTTACTTAATAGGGTAAACAAATCCGAACATGAATACTACGATTAACACAACTTCATTTTGTAGTTTGTAATAAGAGCATATTATCTTTTAAGTTTTAAATAAACTGTTGACTGAGTTTGCGATAGAATAGAAGGCCGAGGCACAAGCAGACTATGTAAAATGGAAACACCGAAGCAGAACTAAACAACTGTTCAAAAGTTTGGAATCAATATTTTTAAAAAGATAAAACCAATGTGGATGTAGACAAGGGTAAAAAATGAATTCAGTATGCAAGTTCTGTGTAATATCATAGTTATTAAATGATTAGTAGGTCACTGTTTAGCTGTAAACAAAAACAACTAAATTTTATGCATCTAGAATGATAAATGGAGCTGTAGTAGATTCTAAATGAGAAAGCTGTATAGCAATGACAGATAAAAAAAAAAAATCTGGAGTTCCACATGTCAAGAATCATTTAATGTGGATAACATAAATATATATATATATATATATAATATTAATCATTTAATATTTTTTTATTTTATTAGAATCTCAAAAGTAGGACTGTTAAACTTTCAAACAGCTGGTTTTGCCAAAAAATGATTTGATACTTTTTTAAGTTTCTTAACTACTGTTAAAGGCACATATTTGGCCAAAAGGTGGTTAACCCCTTAAATGGCCAGGGCCCACTGGCAGGCCCAAAGTTTTATTACACATATCTGTAGTCTAGTTTTCACTGTCCCTGTGGTTACTGAATAATAAGCCTTAGCATCTAATAAGCCTGGGATTTTAAGGGGTTAAAACACCTGAAAGGTTTGAATGCTGATGAGTGCTGACAACACAAGTGGATGAAATGTGTGTTTTTTTTTGTTTGTCTGTTTGTTTCAACTGTGTTTAATTTTATCAGGAACCATGTACAAGAACAATAATCTCATTTGAGAAAAAGATGCTTTGCACCAGGGTTAGCTAACAAGGTAATGTCCATCTGAAGTCCCTGGGCAAGTAAATATATAATTAATTCAAAAGACACAATGGAAACGATAAAAATTACAAAGACAAAATACAGTAAAATGACACAGTCTCAATGATAATCTCATTCCTATATCTTAACATATAGCCGACCCTCCCCCTACTCACCACAAATACACACTAACACATACTGACCAACAATCACATGACATATACAACATGTGAAGTAAGCTCAAATAATATTGAGTCCAAATACATTAATGCAAACATGACTAATTACTTAAAATCCACATGCAGAGTATGGCAATATACCTGAGGCAGTGTTTTTGATCAGTTTTGCAAAGAAAATGTTTAATGTGCTCAGTTATTGGAAACTGACAAAGAAAATCATGCTTATTTATTAAAAATATTTAAAAAAAACTAGATGTTCCCTATCTTTTCATGGGCAGCTTTACACAGTGAGACCTGACTTCACTAATGAGCTTAGCTCTCTAACAAAATAGTGGAAGTAATTAGAGAAATCAGGTGGTGCTCTAGCAGGATTGGAATAGGAACACCTGCAGAGAGTTGAGTGATCCTGACATATACAAAAAGCTTTCAAATGTCTCTTACGCACAGCATGACAAACAGATACCTGGAATAAATGATTGTGACAAGGACACACAGTGTGATTGATGCATGGTTCCACTTTTCCCTATCACCTCTTAGGCTTTTTTTGCCTGTGTTCCTCGCCACAGCCTAGCTGAAGCATTGTTACTCAGGTCCAGTGAACGTTTCTCATATTAGTAGACGGTTGCTGTCATGGTGCAAAGGCAACAGCATCAATTGTTACTTGTGTTTCAGTGTAGCCTGTGACCTCACACTAGGGCTGCATGATAAGGACACAGAATGTAACGTTTGATAAAGCTGTTGGATATCACAATGATGATATGAGAAGCAATAAATTATTATTAAAACACTGGATGTAGCAGATGCGTACAGACTTTTTTGTTGTGTAAACCTATTGAAATAATCTCTCTAAAAAAAGCTACTTACATCAGTACTGTAAGTACATGATATGTGTGACCATGTCACTGCTGTATGTCCCATTACACAGATATGCAGCAACAGATGGGCTACAGTCAGTAATTACAAACTTACAAAGTGCCTTTATATGGCAAGTGTACCCCATAAAATGCAAGAATAAGCAGTCGGTTGATGTCACAAGCTAATTTTGCTCAACATTACTAAGCTCTGAACAGAGTGATGAACAAACACAAGAATAGAGGACATACTTTTGAGTGATAGGCACAGACGTTTTTGGCTAACATCCGCACCTATATACTAGCTACTTCCAAAGCAGAAGTACTGGAATAACTGGAAATTTCCATTGTGTAAAATTTTTATAGATTGTCGCAAAAATGTGTTTTGTGTAAACTTCTACAGGTGCGGGTCGAAACTGGGAGGTGCCAGATTCATATACAGCACAAATTACACCCTTTAAACTTGCAACTCAGTGTCTGCGCATCCTTAACATCCTGCTGTTGTGAGTTTCCTCCCTTTCAGTTACATAAAAAAGTGGGTGTTAATAACTCAAGCTTTATAAAGAGAAGCTTATTTTTTCCCCTTATCTCTAGGCTGAGTATAGAGCATTATTCTTGCACCCAAGCTGTGCTGACTAATCATTTGAAGATGGCACCATCAGCCAATCATCACTGGTAACATGTCAATTCTCGGCATTTCTAATGCGGTAAGTCACAAGAAAATTCACGACTCATGTCACTGGCTCAAATCTTGGTGCCAGAAGAAAGTCTCTATGAAGTAAAGAGTCCAGGACATGTACTACAGAGCGTGCATGCACCACTGAGCAAATCCTATTGAAATTAATAGCCACTAATGACTCTCTCCAGCTCTTATAATACCTCCATGGCTAAATATGAGTGAGTGTGTGAGTTACAAGTTAATGCAAGGTTTCACATCTAAAAATGTAGTAGTGAGGCAATGTAGTGCAATTAATGAAGTAATGAGGGAATGAGAAAGAAAGACATAAAAAAACCCTCTGCAATACTCAGTGATTGCAAAATAAGAGACAAGCAGCATGGTGCTGAAATGCACCTGCAATTTCTGAGTGGCAGATATAAAGCATACAAAAAAAACACAAACGTTCTTACTTTACAGTTCTGTTAAAACATGTGATCAGCCTTTCATTGACTTTTTGGTCTCTATGATCTCTCTGTGATGAGATGCAATGAATGTCTGCATAGGAACAGTGGTTTTAGTATTCAAATACTAACACATCAAGTGGTTAACCAAGAACTATAGTACCTGTGCACATCACTATACATCACATCACTCCATTAGTCCCACAATGGAGAAATTCACAATTCACAATTCTCCAGGACTATGAGGGTACAGTCCTGCTACATCTCCCAGAATTGCCTAGAAGGACAGAGGTCTTTCAGTGGTTGTGTGTGTGTGCGTAAGAAAGAGAGAGAGAGAAAGGGAGCAAGAGCGAGAGGCTACTAATCTGTGAGAGAGATAAAGCTGGCAGTAAGGCCTCCCAGTCTGTGTCATTGGAGGCCTGTCACTGATGGGATGATAGCTTTGTCAGCGCAGCGCAAGAGGAAACACACCCACACACTCCACGGGGTGATTCTAGCAATTACACACCTGTGGTAGCTCACAGAAGCCTCAACTCACACAAACACACGAACAAAATGAGGATTTACAGCCCCACATGAGGAGAGTAGGATGTGTGATGTGGATGCAGCAGCGCAAATAAGATAACGAGCTGAGATATTATAGACACAGTTGGAAATAATGAACGTCACAGTGGCACAGTTTTCTAAGAGGTAGAGTTGAACAGGTTATACCCCAGTGAGCCTTGGATGGTACTGATAAAATATCACACTACTTTCCAAATATATCACAGTGTCAGATGTAGGGCTGAAACAATTTTTCAACATTGTTCATGTCAATAATAAATCGTCTACAAACATTTCTATTTTAAAGTCACGTCCAACCTAGAGTGAATTAACGACAGTAAAAGAGTTTCCTCTCGCTCTTAGGGAGTTTTTCCTTGCCACTGTCACCCCTGGCTTGCTCATGGGGGGCACGGACCCAGGTTTTCTTTCCGTAAAGCTGCTTTGTGACAACACCTGCTGTAAAAAGCGCTATACGAATAAACTTTGACTTGACTTGTAATTCACTTACAGTGTCATATCTACTGAGCAGACAGCAAAAGAAAAAGAACAATTATGACCATTAAAAAAAAACCAAATCTAGGAGCATTCCTTAAAATGAAGGATAAAGTAGTCACGTTCACCATATGCAAGCCTGACTTAGTTTTCCACGGCAGCACAATGTTACCTTCAACCACCAGAAATATGTCAATTTTGTTCAACATTGCTCCTTCTTAAGCAGCAGAACGATCACTAAAGTTAGCTTGTGTTCTGACAAATGAAAAACTCCTTAAGGATGCAGTTTGTGGGTGATCTGTCAGAATGAGCTAATGTTACACTGACAAAAATCACTAGAGCTCACCATGTTACATTACTAACGTTAGTCACTGGAATATTCTAAGCCATAGCAGTTTCTGTCAACTAGAAGTATTTAGCAGATATTTTAGTCAACTCATTCAAAGTGTTATATACATCAGCTAGTTAAATACATACAGTAGGTTAATCAGTTTAAATACAGCTAATGTTGTAAACATTTTCACATGAAAAAAATGCCATCCGGTCATCCTGGAAACCTATTCACATAGCTTGTCTAGTAAACTATCATATTGAAATGTTAAACTGGTTAAATGATGCTGCTGAAGAGCTATAGCTTTACTCTACATGTTTATTACTATATCACCTAATTTTAGACATCAGTACGTAGGGTTTAAAAAATTTGGCAGAAAGTGTACATTCAATGACTACGGCTCAATCCCATTTCACCCCTTGCCGCTACCACTTAGCCTTTACCCCTCTGTTTTGCACATTCATGTGTCAGCAAGAACCGTCTGTCCACAACTACACAGAGAAAGATATTTGAGAGTTGTGTAAAAAATGTAGGTAGATATGGAAAAAAGTGACATGGTCAGAATGTTCATGCTTCACCATACTCTTCACAAGTGGGAGAGTGCATGCGTGCTGTACACCAAGAGAACAGTACAGGCCTGAATGCCTGACCTCTACAGTGAGGAAGTCAAGTGGCATTTTTATGGCATGGTTTGGAGTCCATTTGTCCTCTTAGAGGGAAGGGTCACTACAAATCAGAGCAAAGGTGTGCTGACTGATCCTATGATAAAATACGTCTATCCTGATGGGACAGGTCCCTTCCAGGATGACAAAGTCTCCATCCACAGGTCATGAGGGGTCACTGAAAGGTCAGATGAATATGAAAATAATGTCAATCATATGATATGGCCTTCGGAGAGAAATTAGATCTCATCTCAACTGAATACTTAAGGGAGATTTTGGACTGCCGTGTTAGGACACAGCACCCTCATCAAAACACCGACTGAGGGAATATCTTCTGGAAGTTCCTTTCCTTCTAGTACAGTTTCCTAAGGCTTAGGATTCTATTCAAAGCCACACTAAAGCAATTCCGGCAGCCCAGCATTATTAAGACACTTTATGTTGGTTTTTTACTCATCTGAATGTAGTTTTTGTATGTCAACACAGCTAAAACTAGGTCAATATTGTAATAACAGTACATGTGACATATCGAGCATATAACCTGTGATGTATCCACTCTTAGAGGTCTAGTTTTCAATTTAATTTTGCTATGCTATTTAAATTTAATTCTATACTAAATTTAGCTTTTTTTTTACATAGCCATGTAACGAATTACACTGATATTTGATTTATATTCAACATGTTCAAGTCTGCATTTCTAATCATTTCAGTTTGTTTTAGTATTAAACAATGACAAAAACTCCAAATGACAAACAAAAAAGGCAATATGAGAGATGTTTTTTCTTTTCAGGAAACAAGACTGCACACACAATTTCTCCATAAACGGTCATGAAGGAACCAGGGGTTGAAATTTTTGACAAAATTCATAAAAAGAATGCATAATATGTGACATATGCATGGAAGAACATAAAATCCAGAGGAACAAGGGAGCTTGTATTAGAAAATGTTCCTTTGAACAATAAATTAAAACTACAAAGTTACAGACTGGTGCATGGGGGAGAAAAAGGAAAATGTAATAGAAATAAAAAAACATTTAGAATGATTTGAGAGTCTGAAGATTAAATTGATCTCAAAAATTAAACTGACAGCAGGGAACACTGCTCTAATATCGATTTGCTGACATTTGATCCTGGCAGATGCTTTGCTTTTTCTTTTTTTTTGCTTTAGTAGTTTATATCTTTATGGAGAACCCTCAAGTAGCATGAACCTGGCTGGCCAAGAGGGCTTTGATCTTAGAGCTTCAGAAACTTCACACCTCATAGATGTTTCTATCACTAGTCCTGTAACATACATCTGAGTAGAGTCCATCCCTTTCAAACAGACTTCAGCCATCCTTCAGGGCAACCAGACTGATACAGAGTTGAGCTGGGAAAGACAAACTGCATTGTCAAAACACTACCAATCACAGCTCTGACATGGTCGTGGCATCCTAGTGTGTGTGACGCTGGTATCGCTGGTTCTTGCAGGGCCAACCATTATCTAGTAATGAGAATACACAACTTTTTAAACTTTTGCTACTGTGAAACCACTATAAATACAATTTGTTTGTAATTCAGGTGTCTGATGTGTTCTAAAACTGAAGTATGGTCTGGTTTAATGGAACAGTTTTTATTGTTTATTTTTACCGCATACTGGTTAATAAACGGTTACACACCAAAAAAGGACTTTTCTGGATATTAAAATTGATGTAAATTAACTGTAGCTTTTTAAAGTACTAGGCAGCTTTACATACCCTACCCACATTTTATAGGTTTTACTACACTTGACAGATGCACACACTGCGGCTGTATTATCTATTACTATTTTCAATCTGGGCTGTGGTAGTACTGCTAGAGAGCCGCTGTTCATCAGCTTTTTTTTTTTAAACCACAAAAGAACATTACAATATAGACATTTAGCCAAACATAATTTTAAATATGTCAAATGTTGCTGATGCGAAAATTAAACATCATCTATATATTAAGCTCATTGATTGCTCTGGAAAAATGCTGTATGAAACTTATGGCTAAATGGTTAAAAGAGTCTTTCCAAAGAAAGGTTGTGAGACTGTGTCATCTACAAGAGCAGCAGCCATATCTCAGACTGAGAAACACTGAGTATAAACTGAAACAAAGAAAAAACAGCAGTGAGCAACATGCACTGGGCTTTACATGCGTGAGAAATGAAACCAAGCAACTATAGCTGTTTGCTCAGAGGTCTTTACAAATGAAGCTTTGAAACTCAAAAATTAACACCGTTACCTGGAGACTAAACATTTTGAGTATGTACCCAAACCGAATAGAGCCGGAATGCTGTTTGCAGATTTCCTCTCTTAAGCCTGACATCAAGCACTTGCTAGCTGCCAAACCATATCAGCCATCTCATTAGTTAGCCAGAAAAAATGATCAGATTGGTAAAATCTTCCTGTGGGCTGCAGAAGCTTTTGTGTTCGTTTGTGTGGGCCGCAAGTTGTAAAAGGTCAGGAATCCCCTGATTTAGGATAATACAAACATTTTATCTGACTTGATATCAGCAGATGCTATGTGTTAACTACTGGGATCAAACACAGAACCAAAAGCTTTAATCGGGACTTCGGTAGTCTCTGTACACCAGCAAAATGGACCTGCAAGCTAAAGGGTTCTAATAAAATGTTCAGTGAGTGTATAGGTGTGTTGGAGTGCTGGAGGCTCACACTGAGTTGGAGGATGGCCATGCCCGCAGGGCTGTTCTCAGGCAGGATGACACTGTAGGACGGCTGGGAGAAAACAGGGCTATTGTCGTCTACGTCCAGCACGCTAACGGAAAGTGTGAGTGTGGTCCTGCGGGGGTCCACTGCTCCGTCCCAGGCTTCCACCAGCAGCTCATAGTGACCTCTTTGCTCACGGTCCAGAGCCACGGCTGTGAAGATGTTGCCATCTGCGCTGATGCGGAACAGGTCAGCATGGGTCAGAAGCCTGTAGCGCACCTGACCGTTTACACCTAGGTCAGGATCTGTAGCCTGGAAGACATACACACACATATAAGCACATAAACATGTATCCACAAAAAATCCATAAACTAAATAACTAAACAAAATTACCAATACATCCAAATCACTGTTGTATAATAACAGTACATAATAAATATTCAGGAAATTTATCTGTAAAAATTATATTTATTGCCTTCAATTTCAGAAAGAAAGTTGTATTAAGAGAATTAATAATATCATTCATAATTCACAAAATGTATAATTCTGTACTTCTAAAAATAAAAAAAAAATCTTGTTAATCAAGTGTTTTCAAACTGTATAGAAGAAAAACACAAAAATCCGCTTTTATCATGTAAAATATGCTTTTAGATTTGCTTGATAATGGTATGAGACATGAACAGGTGCCATTTGACAATGTCAACAACTAACATACTCTACATGTTTATTTCATGGATGTTTACACAGAGACACCTGCTTCATCAGCAGGATGATCAGCGACAACAACAGCAAGATCCCTGACCGCCTGCAGTGAACCAAACAGGTATGCTGTCAACAGTCAAATAGCACCTGTTCTCTATCTCTCTCTCTCTCTCTCGCTCTGTCTCTCTCTCTCTCTCTCTCTCTCTCTCTCTGTCTCTCTCTCTCTCTCTTTCTTTCTCTCTCTCTCTCTCTCTTTCTCTTTCCTCGCCCTCTCTAAACCTAAAAGAAAGGGTTTATCAGGTAGTAGACTGGCTTCTGACTGAATGAGTGGCAAAACGCAGATGTGTTGACATTTTCCGAATATATTTCATATACACTATATTGACAAAGGTATTAGGACACACCTCTTAATCACTGCATGTAGGTGTTTCATGCAGTCCCATTGTCACAGGTGTATAAAATTAAGCGCACAGCCATGCAGTCTGCCTTTACAAACATTTGTGAAAGAATCGGACATTCTGAAGAGCTCACTGAATTTGAGTGTGGTGTTGTAATAGGATGTTAGTCTTGTAACAAGTCAGTTTGCAAAATTTCTTCCCTCTCAGATTTTCCGCAATCAACTGTGAGTGGTGTTATTGAAAAGTGGAACCACAGCAACTCAGCCATGAAGTATCAGACCACATAAAGTTACAGAGCGGGGTTGCAGAGTGCATAAAAGTTGCCAAAGCTCTGCTGACACAATAACTGCCGAGTTCCAAACCTCCTCTGGCTTTAACATCAGCACAAAACTGTGCGCTGGGAGCTTCATGGCATGGGTTTCCATGGCTGAGCAGCTGCATGCAAGCCTTACATCACCAAGCAGAATGCCAAGCGTCGGATGGAGTGGTGTAAAGCACGCTGCCACTGTACTCTAGAGCAGTGGAAACATATTCTGTGAAGTGATGAATCGCTCTTCTCTATCTGGCAGTCTGATGGACAAGTCTGGGTTTGGCAGATGCCAGGAAAACATTACCTGTCTGACTGCACTGTACCAACTGTAAAGTATGGTGGAGGAGGGATAATGGTATGGGGTTGTTTTTCAGGGGTTGCCCTCGGCCCCTTAGATCCAGTGAAGGGAAATCTTAATGCTTCAGCAGACCAAGACATTTTGGACAATTTTATGCTTCCAAATTTGTGGGAAAAGGTTGGGGAAGGACCTTTTCTGTTCCAGCAAAGCAAGGTCCATGAAGGCGTGGCTGGGTGAGGCTGGTGTGAAAGAACTTGACTGGCCTGCACAGGGCCCTGACTTCAACCCCACCGAACACCTTTGGGATGAACTAGAACAGTGATTGCGAGCAAGACCCTCTCATCCAACATCAGTGCCTGACCTCACAAATGCTCTTCTGGATGAATGAGTAAAAATCCCACAGACACACACCAAAATCTTGTAGAAAGCTTCCCAGAAGAGTGGAAGCTGTTACAGCTGCAAGGGGGAGGGCCAATTCCATATTAACGCCTATGGATTTAGAATGGGATGTCATAAAATACTTACGTATGCTTACTGTTGCTTGTTTAAGCTTTTGTTTTCCCGGCAAGAATCTGAATTGCGTGAAATTCGAATCATGGAGATCTGACAGGAAGTCAAGTCCTGTTCACAATGTTCTTCTTGAATCAGATAACATCATATTTTTATGTGGTATTATCACTCTCTGCTGTACTGGCATGCTTATGTGAGTGCATTTGAGTGATTTTTCCACTTTTATGTGGATGGAAAATCTTTTGAAAACACTCTGTAAGGATTTTTTTAAACGGATATTGTGTTATTTGAGCTTATCTATGGCCTTATATGTGGAAGAATTTCAACCGGGATACTGGATGAACAAGTATATCGCCCAGTACTTGCTGTTAGTATGGCTGAACTCAAAAGCTCCAGCCTTCTCCTTTCTTCTCTCTCACCTCTCTCAGTCCTCCTTGTGCATTCACAACAGCTGCACGATTAGGATTTAATGGTCTCAAACCACACCCTGGTGGCATTATCCTTTTCTTATTGTTTTAGTGCTTGTATCTGAAGGCACCTCATTGACACCCAGGCAAAAGCGGTGGTGTGCTTCTCTGATAAGCTATGTACCAGACCGTCAGACCGCCCGCTGCCATGAATTATACAGAGGCACAGACAGAGAGAGCAGAAACACACACACACACACACACTCTTTCCCGAAAGTTTAGACCCAAGACTTTCATTTCTTTCCGAGCTGGATCTCAGAGAAAGCAGAGAATAATACGGTGAAGGTGAGGACATGAGTGCGTGATCAATAACGGAGGCTTTGTGAGAGGAGGTGCCCCCCTGATGCTTCCAATGTTGAAGAATCAAGGCCCTAAAAAATCACTATTAACCGCTGACACAAAAGACTGAGTCAAGTTTTATTGCAGACGTGCATGAAAAAAAGAAACTGCACTGTTCAATTGAAGTTCCCCTCTAAACCGGGGGTTTCTATGTAATTAAGAGATAAAAAGCTTTAGGAAATGTATGTCAATCGCGTCAATAGCAGTGTAATTATAGGACTGGCAATGACGTCGTCCTTTTCACGGATAACCATGGAGTCTGGGTATAAGTTTGATCTGATGAGGTAATTTGTGTCAGACCACAATGTGCCATTAAAATAAAACCTAAACTACTAAGTACTAAGTATTGTGTTGCCATTTACTGTCTTTTGTTGAAACTGTCTTATTTCTTTCTTCTTGATCAGTATAGTCTCATGCAGACAAGCACGCATTAGACTTGCCATTTTCTAAAAAAAAAAATTGAAAAGATTGTACTGAATGAGCACTAGGAGGTTAAATCAACACACTAACGCCCCTTAACACCCCAACTTTCTCCTTAACGGTAGGTGTAGCCTTATGAGCTCAAGGAGCATGTTCAATTGAGGGGGCTTCTGATTGGAGACTATGCTAGGGGCTGGCGGTATGACTAATATATAATACGTTAATACTTTCATGATGTAAACATTTTCACAACACATCATGATATTTCTTTCTTCTGATGTTTGACAAGTTGGAAAAGACAAGAAAAAAAACAGTAGTATCACAATTAAAAGTTATAAAAACTATGAATATGATGATTTCACATACTGCACTGCAGTAAACGCAAATAAACAAGGCTAATTGTGCTCTCTTTGCAGCAGGTCAGTGTTATTTATGTACTGATCATACCCACAATGCACTCAGAAAACCCATCATAATGTATTACAAGAACAATAAAAGTTGTCATGTTGCCCTCCCCACCAGAGTGATCACAGTTAACTAAAACTATTACTAAAAGAAAAACTGGCAATGAAAAAATGTGCTTGGTAGATTTTCAAAAACACAAAAGCTAAATCAAATCCCTAACCTCCAGCCCACGACTGCCCCTAAAACGACATCATGTGGTAACAAGCAATTGAACTAAGTTTATTCAACTCAAAACATTACTTCGAAAGAATCGTTCGTTCAAAGTATTTATTTTGGTTGAATAAAACTAGTTAATTTACTTGTTACCACATGATGTAATTTTTTAATTTTTTTGCAGTGTATATAAAAACTAGACTAAAACTATTAGTCACCAATGTTCTTAAAATATCATTTATCTGTATTTCTAGCCTGGTCGGTCACCTGGTATTTACAACTACAACAAATTCTGGTGCTGTAAGAAAGTCCCCTTGAAGCAATGATGACAGGGTCAACACATACATCTGGGAATACATGCGCCACTGAGCATATTCCACTGAAATGAATAGTCGCTAATGACTCCATCCAGCTACTATTATATCTCCATGATTCATACAGTCCCAGCGCCATGCTATTTAGTTTGTCTTAAATTGATTTATGATCCACTGTGTTCACACAGGGAAATCACGGCTGCTTGTGCAACCCAGTTAATACCCAGATGGTGCACTATAATAGTCAAAAAAGTCGCTGCACACTGTTTACACTCAGTGGTCACGGGCTCATACACAGAGAAAGGGGAGAAGTATGAATTTTTCAACGTGGCAGACAAAGCACGCGAGATCACTGCAATAGTGTACAAATTAAATTAGACGTCTCTGATTTTCAACATTTTTGATATTAAAATTAGTAGTTGTTTCATTCAAGGACGTGAGGTATTGCAGTAGGGATGCACCAATGAACTGGGAATTAGGGGCCGATGCCGATATGCAATATTTTTAACATTTCTGTTAAGGCTAAAGACAATACACTGATCAGGCATAACATTATGACCACCTACTTGTTTCTACGCTCACTGTCCATTTTATCAGCTCCACTTACTACATAGGTGCACTTTGTAGTTCTACAATTACAGGCTGTAGTCCATCTGTTTCTCTGCACACTTTGTTCTTCAGTGGTCAGGACCCCCATGGACCCTCAGACAGCAGGTACTATTTGGGTGATGGATCATTCTCAGCACTGCAGTAACACTGACGTGGTGGTGGTGTGTTATTGTGTGTTGTGCTGGTACGAGTGGATCAGACACAGCAGTGCTGCTGGAGTTTTTAAACACTGTGTCCACTCACTGTCCACTCTATTAGACACTCCTACCCTGTCAGTCCACCTTGTAGATGTAAAGTCAGAGACGATAGCTCATCTACTGCTGCACA